TCCTCTATGTGGCTAGTGCCCTGTAAACATCTGTGCGCAGAACTGGGCGTCTCAATTAAATAACTTCAAGGCGAGTGTTAATGAAATTCCTCAGCGAGCCTGAGCTTGCCGTGGCGTGGATTTCGTGTGGCCGCGGTGCTGACAGATCGCTCCCAGTGCTGACATCGCGAGCTGTTCAAGCAGCCGAAAGTTTCTAAGACATTCCGGCTTATGTGTTCGCCATAAAGTCCATTTTTGGACTTTCTTTAGCTTCTGCCATGTAAGGCTTATAGGGAAACTGTACAAATAGTTTGGTACAATTCAGTATGATGAACATTTAAACTAGGGCGTAATATACATATTACATAGCATACAACATATACAGGATTGAAAAATGGGAGAAAAAGTCTTTTCGTTGTTGATTTAGTAAGGTCAGTAGGGGGAATGAAAAAATGTCATTCATAATCCATACGTACTGATTTCCTTTAAATGCATTTTTCCAAAAATAGATAATTATTTGAATATTATTAGTATGTGTTGCATATATTCCAGGGTTAAATTTAGAGGGGAAATCAGTTTTTTGAAAATCAGAAGTCAAGAAAATAACCTAGATTCATGATTGTATCATTCAAGGTTCTTTTGTCTATTTGGCCATAAGATTCCACTGTTACTCAGACTTCTGCTCATTAGTAACTTAATCTTACAGTTGGTATTCAGTATCTACAGGACCATACAGGATTCTGGCATGGTTCTAACATAGTTCTGGTGCAGAATTATCCTAATAAAAAACCTCACACGATAATCCTTAATCCTTTCTATACGACAAAGCTCAATATGCAACAAAGAAACCAAATCATTCTAATATAATGTACTTCGAGCCCCGGACGGTGCAGGGGCCGACCAGATGCGGCAAGGGCGCCCGCCTGAGCCCCCGTTGCGTTACAATAAAAAGTTTAGTTTTTTTATCATTTTTTCCCCTTCATTTCTCACAGATTACATATCTGAAAACCATTATAGACCTACTGTATATTAGACATAAGACTGTCTATATTACTTTATAGGCAGTAGCCAAAATCCATACACAGTACCACAATGACAGGGATATCAAGATCTGGATAGCACTGAAGAATCGGTCATTAAGAATAATTATCCTTCACTTGCATGTTTGAGCACATTTGTGTTCACACACATATACAGTATTCACGTTGCATTGTGCATATTGCTAGTCTGTATGAAGATGCTGAATTCTGGGCAGTACTTCCATTGCCAAAAAGTGAGTGAAAAATACACTGGATATAGACTGGATACATAGGGGCACTGCTCTTAGTCAGTAGTGTGCAAAATAAGAGGCATCTGTTATCCAATGTATAAAGAGACAGCATAGCTCAAGTAGTGCGCTATTCCGTAATGTGATTGTTAATGATAATAAACGTTATTTTATATAGTGCCTTTAAAGGTGGGTTTTCAAAGCACTTTACAGAATGACGAGAACAAAAAAAAATACACAATATATACACAATGAGAATACACAAGGAGAGTACACAGTAGATGGTGATACTGAATACACTAGGAGCAAAGGTTATGGCTGGGTAGTTGTAGAGGTCAGCTACAACCCCCCTCAAGCCTGTGGGCTCTCATTAAGGGAACCCTGCCTCGTTAGAGTCTGTGTGGAAGTCTTCGGCAACAGCCCCACTCTCGGTGGCCACGTGTATCACTCTCCTCCGACGCCCCCTCTCTCCCTCTCTCTCCAGAAGAAGCTGGGCGCCTTTGGCAAGATGCAGGACGCTCCGGACGTGCGCGTGCCACGGGCCAAGCAGCCGGCGCAGGGGGAGGAAGAGGAGGAGGAGGAAGAGCGGGGGGAGGAGGAGGAGGAGGAGGAGGGGGAAGGGGAGGGCGCGCAGGCGAAGGAGCCACAGCCTGCCGAGACGGAGTACCTCAGCTCCAGATGCGTCCTCCTCACTTACTTCCGGGGGGACATCGGGGACGTGGTGGATCAGCACTTCTCCCGCGCGCTCAGCCAGCCCGGCGGGTTCAGCCCTGACCGGACCCCCGCCTCCAGGGCCGCCCGCACCCCCGCCAGCTCCATCTGGAAAGGTGAGAGGCTTGCGGTTTGAGTCTTCCGAGGGAATCGGAAAAGCCCACTGCTTTGGAAAACTTTGGAGTGCAAGAGGTTCTGCTCCGTAAACTGGTACCTGACATTTAAGATTAAAATGTATTTTCTCTTTTCGGTGCCGACCGCAGAAATGGTGCTTAATGGTCTTTCTCTTACTGAAGACTATGACACTTCTTGTGCAGAACTTGTCTGAATATTAGTCTTTTAAACATATGGAATATCCAGAGGCATCAAATATCCTCTAATCATCCTGTTCTACTTGCTAGCTTTTTCCCAGTCAATCCATAGTCTCTCAAGTTAAATTCTAACACCGTTCATCACTCCAGTCTTCTCTGCTGCTAACAGTGAAAAAGGAGGCTGAGGTCAAATCGTTGAAAGCAATATTTTACTAGCCTGCTGTCTGAGCAGAGGCTGGGGGTAATAAAAAGATTACCCGGGCAGCTGAAAGAACAGGAGTCACAATGTGCTTAAACCTTTCATAGTATTATACGAGGAAGACTGGGGGTTCCAATGAGCTCTTTGCAGTTCACTGGACATAATTCCGGTGCAAAGCAGTCCAACGTGTCCACAGTATTTTGACTTTCGATTTGACGGCAGTGTTACTCAAGAGAGAAAAGAGATCGTGAGAAACCGACCGTTACTCTCAAGACGTACAGTAGAGTTTGTTTTTTGTGACTCCAGTTTGCGGAATGTCATTTTTTGGATCACTGTTTAAATTATTATTTTTTTACTTGTAGGTTGATTAAACTTTGAAAGAATGTAGCAAAACAATTTTAGCCTTAGTAGTGTTTTAGCTTTTTCTTTGTTGATACTCTTGTAGTAATGACATTGATGTTCAATAAATCGTAATACAGTATACCATTATATACTGTATATACAAATTACAAAAATCTAGTTAGCAAGATTCCGGATGAATGTTTTGTGAGGTGGATACAAAATGAAATGCCATGAAGCTCCTGTCATTACAACTCAAGATCATTTCCTGGAAAAACTGTATCGAGGCCAGTGAAACAATATTTCCAGTGTGTTTTCTTCTTAGTAAGGATAATAACCAAGTTACATGGAAAAATAATTGTGCTCGTTTTGATGTACAATAATCCTGAGCTTTTTTTAAATGATGTATTTAAAAAAAAAGTCAATTTAAGTTTTCAGTAAAGGAAAGACCATTAAGCACCTTTTCTTCAGTGGGCGATAAGAGAGAAAATACATCTAAGAAAGTTGTAGATTGGTCCTGTGCTTAATGGTTTATAGATTTAGTGTCCTGCATTTTCCTTAACCTGAATTTGAATTTGACAATCGTGAACATTGTCACCTGCTGAAATATTTAACTGTCTGATTGACCAACACTTCGTCCCAGAGTGCCAGTGTTCAGTCTTCCTCCTCAGCCCCTTGTGTTAATTCCCTGTGCTCTCTTGTGTTACAGAGGGAGGGTCGCTGTCTGGTGGGCAGTGCATGGGTTTCCCAGCCTCTTTCTGGAACAGCTCCTACCACTCCCAGAGCGCTCCTGGCCTCCCAGGCATCCAGGCCGAGTTTTCCCCGGCCACTGCGTTCCACTCTCCCGAGAGCAGTGCCTGGGGGGGTCACGGACTGCCCCATTCACCTGCCGTGCCCGACTCCTGGCACTACCCGCTGGGGGCCCCCAGCAGCCCCGGCTACCCCCACGTCCACGAGGTCTACTCCCACATGCACCACCGGCGTGCCCACCCGGCCCACCCCCATGCCCATCCCATGCTGCACCCCGCCCACGGCTCCGCCCTGGATCCCCGCTACGGCCCCCTGCTGCTGCCCAACGTGCACCCCGCCTGCAACCCCGCCCCCCACTGTGATGTCACAAAGAGCGAGCCGGACCCCGCCCCCACGCACACCCAGACCTGGCCGGCTGTCTTTCATACGGCGGTGGACGTGGGCTTTGACACAGGTGAGGGCAGCTGCCCAGCACTGACCGAGAATGGCCAGTACGCACAGGCTGAAACCCTACAAATATGCAACAATATTCATAAAATGGAAAGATTTCGGATTAATACGTGAACCCTTCATTTGCAATGCAACAGCAAATAAACACACATATAACCAATCAGAAACTGTGTTATTTTACAGACCAGCTTCTGAAAGTATGCAACTGTTCTGTAACACATGAATGTAAGCTTGTTCTGTAACTAGTTCTAAGGCTCCCTGATGTCTGGTCTGTTTGAACCTCTGAAAGGCACATTTACAAACCATTTTTTATTCTTTTTTTGGGGGGGGGGGTTATATTTGCTCTGTGGGGAAAAAAATCACTTAAAATAAAATAAATACCGTTTTTAAAGGTGTGAATTGAAAATATTCCAAATCAAATCTCTATTACTGCTCTTCTGCATAGTAACAAAATGAAGAAATTTTCATTTAAAGTATAGAAAAAAAAACCTTCCAAATACATTTAATGACTGATTCCCCCCCCCCTCTTTATTTATTTTTTTCGTTCATGTCCCCAATTGGACTCTTTAGTTGTTCTTCACTCATTTTACTCCAGCAAAGAGAGCTTGCCTCTGACTCTGCTGTGTGTTTAATTCATTCCTGTGTTCTCCCGGCAGCTCCAGACCAGGAGAAAGGGAAAGCGTCAGTCTGGTTCTGAGGAGAGGGCTCGGCCTCACGCAGGAACGCCTTTGGAGCCGTCTCCTGGCCTGGAAGAGGTGTGTAGTCAAGCCGTAGGGAGAATCACATCCTGGAACAGCTGCAGACTTTCTCGAATCTCGTGCAGGAGGGAAGGGAAAGACTTCCCCCTTGAGGCAAGCACAAGAATGTATGGGGGGATGTCTAAAGCAAACCAGAATGTCTGATATTAATTTTGCCATCTGGGTACTTGGGGGCTTGCATTGTTTAAACAATGAAAAATTGGGAGAGATGGAAGAGGCCTTGGGTCTCAGGCTTTGATTCGGAGCTTTGAGCCTGGAGAGGAAAGAGCTTGTTTCACAGGAATGCTGTTTGGAGAGAACCCCACCCTTGCCCAATTTCAAACAGGTATATTTTGCTATTTAATTACACATATATTTTTGTAAAGAATTAGAAAATCCTGTCGAGAGACGAGGTGTTGTTTCTTCTTGGTGGAGGTCATCGTTATTTTGGAGACAGATGAATTTTCGGTCCTAACTCTGTAAAGTTCTGTTTCAAGAGCTCGTGTCTGTTTAGCACTGGGAGGGACGTGGCGCAATTGTATTTTGCAGAAATCCACTTTTTTTTTTACTGTGTTTTTTTAAATAAGCGCAGTGCAGTGTTTCCAAGTGTTTAGTGTTAAATATGTTTTCTGTAATTTACAAGGCAGGGTTTACAAGCTGACTTTGACAAACGCTTTCAGATTAATTTCGTGTAACATCAATTTGTTGAATGGTTTGCTACAGTAGGTTGTTTTTTTTAGCAGACTTGTTTTTCAGACCTGTTTTGTGTTTCTTCTTTTTTTTCTCAAGTATTGAATTACAGAGCTGTTAATCGGAACCAAATCTATTTTTCGTGCCTTAGTTATGAGCTGGCTTGAAGTAAGGCTGTTGAAGCCTTGCTGTAGTGATTTCCAGTAGGTTGTCTATTGCTTTAAACTGTCCTTACACAGAATCTGTGAAAAAATTGTATGAAAAACAGTAATTATATATTTTTACTTTGCTGCACATGACTTGATTTAGCAATCTTTGGTGTCGGTGGGGTGTACAGAATGTGTCTGAATGAAGGTGTACATGCACAGAGATGTGCATTTATAAAGCACAAACCAAAAATACTGCAGTCCATCACAAGTCAAAAAGAAACCAATTAAAGCATGAGAAAGCTTAGTGTGAGAAACGGAGATGGGCAGCCTACGGCTACAATTAAACAAAAGATGGTAAGCAAATGTGGTTTTTAATTTAATTTTTCAGTTTGGTGATGGGTTTTGTCTATCTGAGTCTCCTTCTTTAAATGCAACGTTTTTGTGAATGAGTGTTACAGCTCGGTCAAAGGGCACTTTTATCAGGTTAAGTGTTTTAAAATGAAATACATATTGGTTTGCAACAATCGTTTACTGTGCCTTTATAAATCCCATCAATATTGGCTGCACGTGATGGGAAACGATTCATTGTTGCGGCTATAATCTCTGTTTGCAAAATGGTTTTAAAATGATTTTATGCAAAACGTCCATACCCAAAAACATTGGCTGTCTAATTTGTGAGCACTTTAATGCACAGCTCCCAGATTGTCAGTGTCACCTCAGCTCAGGGCAGCAAACACGTATCCGCAAGCTAATACCAGATTTAAGACTGGGTCCAAATTCAGGACAAAGATAAACTGCAGGAATTAATGTACGAAAGGTCACAAATAAGAGTGCCACTAGGTCCCTCTAAGACATCTGATTATGTCACCTGAGCTTTTCACCCAGCACTTTCTGGAAAGACACCAGGAAATGTGGCTGGGTAGCTTGTTCCATACTCCCACGACCCTTTGTGTAAAGTAGTGACTCCTGTCCTGACTGGAGGATCTTATCCAACTGTTTCTTGAAAGAAGCCAGGATATCTGCTTCAACAAAATTGCTGGGAAAGTTACTTCTGAGGTGTCCTATCCAAAACCTGTATAAAATTGCTATCCTTGCATATCTACAGTTTGTGTAAAATGTAATAGTGCTGTGGAATACTGTGGCTTTTCTCTCATTTTTTACCTGCCTCATGGCAGGACTCAACATTTTTCTGTAAGAGGCAGCCACACAGAATGAGGTTCTACAGGATATAAGAACCTCTCCAGATTCTGTGACATCGAGCCTCAGCAGAGAGACCAGACAACTCAGGGAGCAGTACAATCTTGTCCCCACATCAGAGATACTTAATTTAACGCTCCACCAGTATTCCAGCAGACTTTTTTCTAAACGTTTGGGTCTCACTTTTCAAAGAGGTGCCAAGTTACCACATTCATTCCCAATGTGTGCTTCTGTTCCTACTAGTTTTTCCAGCAGTATTTTCCTGCCTACAAGTGGGAAAGGTAAAATCTGGAAAATCCAAAAATGTTGTGTCTTATATTAATTTGGGCATTTGGCACAACTTGTGGATTGGCCAGTGTAACATATTAACTCAGCATCTCAACACTTACTGCACGTGATTTTGCAAAGGAAGAGCTCTCTTTTTTTATCTGATTTGCTCTGGCTAAATGGCAAAAGGCATGGTTTTGCTTAGCTGCAACCTGGGTGATTTATTTCCAATGGATTCCTTAAAGAGAATGTCCAACACAGAAAGACCCTGAGGGATTATTTTATTCTATTAAAGTTTGATAAGGTGCTGTTTTCTGTTCAGTTACACTTGAGGCAGATGATAAAGCTCCCATTGTTGCAGAACAATGGAGAGTGTGTCAATCTAATTTGATCTGTTTGTGCCTATTGTAATAATACTTTTATTTCTTTTAATGTGTTTGAAGGGAACATAGTCAAATGTTAAGAACTACTGTATCTTAATGTAATTTCTTGCTTTGTACTTTGCGGTTGCACTGGAGGTGTGAGAATGAATAGGAGGACAAGGGTCACTGGTTCACCTGTAATTTGGTTGAATACCCCCCCCCCAATTGGTCAGATTGATTCCTCCTGTCTGTCCTTGGTCTTGCAGCAAACCAAAGTGAAGATACTGGAGCTCAGCAAAAAAAAAAAAGGAGACAAATTTTAAAAAACTTTTTACCATCCTCTGTTGTAACACCATGTTGTTCAAGTTGATTTCAGTATTACGTTTACTATTTTGTGTGGTGCGTCATGTTGTAAAGGGTTTATTTGACAGCATTAAGGAAAACACCTTCTCTGTCCAGCCTTGTGTTTAACGTGTCTCATGCTTTATTGTGTGTTCCTTGTTCTGCAAATGTTTACGCAGTTTATGTAATTATGTCGTCCTTAATGTATTATTGTATGGCCTTGTTCCTTTTGTATAGTGAGATGTAAATGTCTTTTTGTCAATAAAATAATTTAAGATGGAACAACTCATTCTTATTATTCTTCATATCATTTACCTTCAATAATCCATCCATTATCAAAAAGCAACTGATTCCTAGTCAGAAACAGACAAGTGAGCTTCCACTTTCACTGAATGCAGTTGACCATGTGTAAAGTCACCCTGTGCTAGTGTTCCTGTTGGTCTTTTGATGATTAATGGAATCTTTGAGTCCTGGTTATACTGTACTGACTCTTAATAACCACTTCAATAGCCCAATTACTACAAGTAGTTCAGGTGCTCACACCTGAAGAAGGCTCCATGGCCAAAACGTTGTGTTTTCTTTCTTCTTTTTTTCAGCATGGAACAAACCTATTACTTGTTCCTTTGTAATTACTACAAGTACTAATTAGAACCTCTGTGCTTAGAAACTTTCAACTTACAGTAACAGACTCCTAGTACACCCTCACCTTAATAGACTGTTCTGGCTTGTTCTCACGTTTTACAGTTAGAACTGATCCAAAACCACCCAGCTGGGGTCCTGTGTTTTAAAACTCTCTTACATTGTTAGTTGACTGTTTATCTTCTGCTCCCCTTTAGGGCCGAGCATTCTAAAACTGGAAGTACATATACATGGGGATGAGGTCAAACTGGGAGAGAACCCACTACATTGCCCAGTGTTCTTCTAAGACTAGGCTGTGTTGTCATCATGATTTTTAATTTAATCATTCAGATTCTGTGCAGCTCTCACCTGAGCAACGAGCAGGGCCAACAATAGCTTTTTGGGGGTCCTAGGCAAGACTTTGGAAAGGGGAACCCCTCTAGATACACTACTATTATCAGCTCCCAGCACAGGCTTATTTTACTATTTAGAACTATTAAATAAATTAATTATATAACTAGAAAACATATTAACCAGCTTTGAGGAACACATAAGTTCCAAACAAGAACAAGAAGCACACATTTCACAAGACTAACATATTTTAACATTGAAGTCATTAATAGCAACATTAACAACAAATAATAATAATAAACAGGATCTCTGCTACTTTCAAACTATAGCAAATCTTAACTTGGATATTACTGCATTGAAACCTTTGTAGCAAGGAATCGTCACTGGAAGAGTGACAGCAATCCGAAAGGCTACAGTCTGGTTTTACAACCCCCCAATTTAATGAAATACAGGAGAAACCGCAAAGAAACCGATGCGTTTTAATGCCGATGACGTATAATTGCTGAACGTTTGTACTGCACATTTGCTTTCATGCTTTTGTTTGGCCCGGTAGCGCTGATTTTTAGCCAGGTGACCCACACGGCATGTGTACAATTGAAAATGTGGCTCATCTACCGTTCGCTGTTTACACGGATCTGACAGACTCGCAAATGCAATGCAATTGTAATGACTCGATTTGGCGTACAGTACCTCCGTTTTGAGATCACTTATCCCGCTCTTCTTTTCTGCGCTTCAGAAACGTACTCGATTATGAGTAGTCAGTTTTTCATCGAGCTTTCATTAGGATAATCCACGGCAGCAACAAAAAGAGACGCTACAGTATATCGATATTTTTCGTTCACAATTAAACGTGGCGGTTAAAAAAACTGTTATACACCTTAAGGAGCCTAAGCGGTGGCCTAGCTCACCTAGCAAAGGGGCCGGCTCTGATGATGAGCAATAGTCATTATGCGCCAGCTGCCCTACTATACAGCAGATCAGCTACAGGTGTGAGAGAAGTTTCCTTACCAGCTGAATGAAAGGGGAACTGCAAGGCCATTTTCATATTTCTGGGTTAGAAGGAGTCAGCATTGACGAGTGCACGTCAAAGCGCAATAAAAGTAATATGTACTGTACACTACAAAGTAACCATGTAAAAATGTACATCACAAAATAGAACAAAAAATTCCAGGTATGCGCCATGTTTTGCGATACAGAGTGAGACAACGAAACTTCCGGTGACCTGTTGTGGCCCAATCAGACTGTAAATAAAGAGGTTTGTGAATACATCTCTTTGAATCCAATAGAAATATTGCTTTTGATTTTGAGACAGTTTGGCCCCCTGTTGTGACACGGCCCTTCCTGCTCACGAAGGCTTTAATAGAAAAGATAGAGGCAGGATGGTGGTGCAGGGGTTAGCCCTTGCTGACTTGCAGTGCTGGAGCCTCTGGGTTTGATCCCCGGGGTGCTGTCTGTGTGGAGTTTATATGTTCTCCATATGTTCATGTGTTGTTTTTTTTCCTGGTGCCCCAGTGTCCTCCCACAGTTCAAAGACATACTGGTGCATAAATTGGCAGAATTGGCCCTGGTGTGACTGTCTGTGCCTGTGTCTCTCTGCCCTGTGATGGACTGTTGTCCTGTCTAGGGTGTATCTTGCCTTGTACCCATTGCTTGTTGGGATAGGCTCAGCAATAATGCAGTTAAAACTGGATAGATGGATGTTTGCAGAGCAGAGTGTTAAAAATAAAAAAGGGTTTTAACAAAACACACACACACAAAAAAACAGTACAGGTATAGGGACAGACCAGACATACCAAACCACCACGAAACACCTGATAATATTTAGGAGGACAAATGGCCACTGTGATCACCACAAGCAGACAGGAGCGCAGGCTTTGTGGGCTGGCAACTACAGCCATGGAAATACAGTCACATGGGTTTGAAGGAAAATACGGTTTCCTTTTTAGCAGTTTCTGGTTTAAAAAAAAAAAACAAGGGCTCTTTTCCTGAGTGGGTATATTAGCTTTTGAGTTAATTTTAAAAATGTCAATGAAATGCTGTGGTAAGCAATAAGTGAGAACACATTGACCATACTGTGAGGAAAATGGTGCCGGCATCTCATTTTTCCCCCCACTTTAGACTGCTGGAGTCTTTCCAGTCTCGTTCCTGATTCTTTCACCTCCTTCCGTCCTTCCTATTCCAGCTCCAGGACTTCAGAAAAGCCAGCGCACTTTCCAGCTACCTTGGGCATTAATCAGGCCCCGTCTTCTCTCATCTGTCTCACTCAAACCCTGTATGAAAATCCCAGACTGCACAGTCAGTGAAAAACAGACATGTTTGGGGTGGGGAAATTAGTAGATTTAAATGACCACAAAAATCAAACCTCCGACAAACTAAACAAAACCATTGTGTCCTGTCCAGCAAATAAGAACCCCAGTGGTTTTTATCTTGGATCCCTTAAGCCTTTTTATTATGATTATGGGTTTTGTTTTGTTTTATTTCTCCTTTTCCAACACTCAGACTCCGTATTGAAGCTGGTCTGGGGTTTTTTTATCCACACAATTTGTTCAGTCAGAAATCTGCTGAGGTTTCCCTGCTGTTCCTTTGGACAGTCACTAAGGGGAAGAGTAAAAACAAAATCAAGCTGTATTTAGTTGGTGTCCAACTGTCATTCAGAGCTTTGTTACTAAAGACAACAGTGACAAAGGAATAAAGTCCATACAGAGCTGAGCTGGCAAATTACAAAATCCTGCAATATGAAATAAATGATAAATATTACTATGTAATTTTAAGTCTATTTTATTAAAATATCTGCTTTGTACAGCTGTTTTTGATAGATCCAGTGTTCCAGAGCAAGTAGAGAAAAAACAGACGGAACACGTTTTCTGACAAACGTTTTAAAAACGTAATGAAAGCCGTTGTTTGTCAACTTTAAAATTGGGATCAGCCTGTATACAGCTAAATGAAGTTTTGGGGAGTTTGGAACAAACATTGATTCTATCTTATTGTATCTAATATTCTGAGATACTGTACCTTAGATATCTGGAAAAGATTTTCCCAGCAGTAAAGCTATTCTCATTAGTAACCTATCATACTGTACAGCTTACAACCCAAAGAACTGAAGTTGCAATTTCACTATTTTTGAATGCATTACAAAAGCCTGTTTAGGTTATGGAACACAGACTGGCTTCAAATGTTTCTATGGACAACTAATAAAATTGAATAGAGCTAAAATATGAGGAAAACGTCATTTACATGTTTCAAATATGGAAATTATAGTAAAAAATAAGTATACTTGCAATATACATTACTAAGAGCCACTGCACCTCTCAGTGTCATTCTTGCTACTACTGTGCATGAAGGACCGTCAAGCTACTTTTTTCACTTGATCCAGGTCAGCACATATCCCATGATGGGTCATTGGGATAGCCCCATTCATCCCCAGATCTATGGTTTCACTCGAACTGTCTTTCGATTATGCAAGGCACCCTGGGAATGTGCCAATAACGCTCTCTTTGACCACAGTCCTGCATAACCTGACTTGAATGAGCGGTGTGATGTGAACATGTACAGTATCAGCTAGCAATGGAGATTTTTTCCACCGGGATTGCCCCAACAGGGACAGCTGAGAGATGTGAGGTAGCAGAAGGAAGCCTTTCTACCCCCTGCACAGTGCTATTCTTGCCCTCCCCCCCCCCGACACACACCCCCAATACACACACACTCCCCACTTCCAGGCTCTGTCCTTCCTTCTGGAAACTGGGAAGTGGAGCCCTGCCTGAGGCACAAGAAGCTAAGGACAGTGCTGAACCTTCACAGGGATCAAGGAAAGCACTAACGATCTAATTCCCCATGCTCGTGCTCGTGCTACTACCACCACAACACGCAGGCATTTGAAAGTCATCTTAAAACACTTGTTTTAACTCAGCTCATCGTTTTTCTTGGGTATTTGTAATGCACCTGACAACTGCAAATAATTTCTTGTGGCCGTCTCTCCTGGAATAGTCCTGGAATTCATTTGCATTTATTCTTTTTGCCAATTTTGCTTTCCTTCTTTAACTCTCACTGCTGTCACACTCATGGTCTCCTCATCAGTCTCCCCACTCTCTTGTCTCTTCGAGGTAGACCCCCTCCTTTGAGTTCTCTTGTGGAATATCACTGCACAGTTGACATCAGTCCCAAGTCTTCTCCTTCTCCTGTTTAAGGACTTTCTGCTTTACAGGGGATATCATTCTACAGTCTAGTACAGAGGCTCTTGGGCATTTTCAAAAATTGCCTCAGTCTTGTCCAATCTTGTTCCTGACTAGGCCTCTTTGGGCTCTTACTGT